GGGATCCTGGAATCGCGAAATGATACTCTCAAACAGGGACCCAGGAATCGAACATGGATATTTTTATACGAGAATCCCCGAATCGGCATCGATATTCTTACACGGGGATTAGGGAATCGAACATGTATACTCTCACACGAAGATCCGGGAATCGAAAATTGACACCCTCAAGCGGGGATTTGTAAACCGAGGACTGATACCCTTAAACGGAGTTCCGGGAATCGAACATGGATATTCTTAAATGGGGATCCGGTAATTCGGGCTTGGATACTCTCACACGAAGATCCGAGAATCAATAATAGATAACCTCAAGCGGGGATTCGGGAATCGAGAATTGATATCCTTAAACGGGGATCCGGGAATCGAGCATGGATTTTTCTCTTACGTGGATAAAAGACTGGGATCATATTCATTTAAGCTATTCCAATATGAACGCAACACATTAATGTAATTATCCCGTCTGCGAATACTTCACTGTTTGCAGATATTTTTTTCATTCAAAATTATCTTAAAATTGTTTTCGAAAATTGTCCGTCTATACATGATGTCCTTGTGGTTTCCGAATAACTTCCGAAGGCTTTGCTAAGAATAAATCTTTTATGCGATAGAAAGCAGTTGAAAATGACACACCAATAGATAATCTATGTTTTATATCGATATAATATTGAAATCACTTAATATTTGATAAACGTACCTTAGAGCTGGTAGTCAAACATAAGATCATCATTATCAAAGCCAAATCACACATTTTTATGCCCAAAGAGGGTTCACCAAAGTTATACAGATATCTTTAAATAGTGATATTTCTGGTTTAAATAGAAATATATTGCAATATGTATTCAGATATATCTCAAAAAGAATTAAAGTTATTTCGTATATAATTGTGTAATAACGGTATCGTTAAAAGAAATAGAAATATTTCATATAATTATGATATGTCTATACTTTATCTCTTTAATTCATAGAGATATCTCTTGAATTATACAAAATATATCCTGAATTAATAGAGATATATCTTTTCTTTCATAAGATATCTCATAAATTAACAGAGATATCTCTATTATTTTATATCATATATATGCCTAATTTATAGATAAACATCTATTATTTTATAACATATCTCCTGAGTGAACAGGGTCATTCCTATAGTCATGTCAGATATCTACTTAATTCATATAGACATTTTCTATATTATCTATCCAGGGACGTAACCAGGCGTACGCACGGACGCACGGGCTTCCACGTAATTTTTTCAAGTATACTTTTTTTCAGATAACGGGCGCATAGTCGTCTACTTATTATCAGGTTAAATTAATTATTACGCATTTGATAAAAAATTACTAAAATATGACAATGATAGGTATTTTATGTCTCAAACTGCACCAGAATGGTTTCCGGATTCAAAAAAAATCTCGGGGGGGGGGGGGGGGGGATCCCCTCTCCCAAACCCACCCCCTACTACGCGCTTCGCGCTTCGTATGCTTCCACATACTCATAGTCCTGGTTACGTCCCTGCTATCATTGGATCAAATGGAATTGGATCACGTGACAGGGGGTTATTTATCATTGGATCACATGACAGGGGGTAATTTATCATTGGATCACATGGTATTGGGTCAGATGATAGAGGGTCATCAAGCATTGGATCATATGCAATTTGGTCACATGACAGGGGTAATTAGACATTGGATCACATGTTATTGGGTCACATGAAAGGGGGTTATCTAAAATTGGATCATATGGTATTGGGTCACATGGCAGGGGGTTATCTATCATTGTATCATATGGTATTGGGTCACATGGCAGGGGGTTATCTATCATTGGATCATATGGTATTGGGTCACATGGCATGGGGCTATCTATCATTGGATCACATGGAATTGGGCCACATGACAGGGGGTAATATATCATTGGATCACATGGTATTGGGTCACATGACAGGGGGTTATCTAACATTGGATCATGTGGTACAGGGTCACATGACAGGGGTCAGTCAACATTGGATCATATGGTATTGGGTCACATGACAGGGTGTAATATATCATTGGATCACATGGTATTGGGTCACATGACAGGATGTAATATATCATTGGATCACATGGTATTGGGTCACATGACAGGGGGTTATATATCATTGGATCACATAGTTTTGGGTCACATGACAGGGGGTTATCTTACATTGGATCATATCGTATTGGGTCACATGACAGGGGTCAGTCAACATTGGATCATATGGTACTAGATCACATGACATGGGGTTATCTTACATTGGATCACATGGTACTAGATAACATCACAGGGGATCATCTACCATTGGATCATATGGTATTGGGTCACATGACAGGGGGTTATATATCATTGGATCACATAGTTTTGGGTCACATGACAGGGGGTTATCTTACATTGGATCAAATGGTATTGGGTCACATCACAGGGGTCAGTCAACATTGGATCATATGGTACTAGATCACATGACAGGGGGTTATCTTACATTGGATCACATGGTACTAGATAGCATGACAGGGGATCATCCAACATTGGATCATATGGTATTGGGTCACATGACAGGGGGTTATATATCATTGGATCACATAGTTTTGGGTCACATGACAGGGGGTTATCTTACATTTGATCATATGGTATTGGGTCACATGACAGGTGGTCAGTCAACATTGGGGCAGATGGTACTAGATCACATGACAGGGGATCATCTAACATTGGATCATATGGTATTGGTTCACATGACAGGGGTTATCTTACATTGGATCACATGGTATTGGGTCACATGACAGGGGATCAGTCAACATTGGAGTACATGCTATTGGGTCACATGACAGGGGTTATCTATCATTGGATCATATGGTATTGGATCACATGACAGGGGGTAATATATTATACGATCACATGCATTATATCATCAGAGTAAGGAATCGATATAATATATGTATCATGTATATAAGTATATCAGATCAAAGGGACATTTTTTAATTATGACACCTGATGCATTAATCAAGCTGAGACAGATTGGTTTGTTTGATTAATTTTTTTAATGAACAGTTCACATTTAAATTAACGATTTTTTTTACATTTGTCTGAAAAGGCTCCCAGTTGGTTATTAACATTAATTATGGGGGAAAGATTGCAGTGAATTATTTTTCTTTTTTTTCGGTATGCAGTTATAAAATCTACTTAGGTTATAGATAGCTTAGAATCAACCAAAACAATCGCAATAGTGTTAATTCAAGTCAAATACAGTTTTTCTTAAATTTACATCTCTATGTACATATGGAGTGAAAACAATTCTTATCTATTCGTAATACATGAAACTGAACTGTCTAAAATTCTACGTTATCATATAATAGAAAGATTGTGTCGTATATACCCACCTTTTCATCACTTTAATTGCTGAAATTCTAATTTTTTTTTAAAACACAAACATTTCTGCATGAATAAATTGTTGACTTGTGTCTGGCATTAATAAACGAACACAAACACGTGTCCATATTAGATTTGTATTTGGTGTAACATTATAAACACATGGCGGTGGAGGGGTTTGTCCAGTTGAAAGGGAGCTGGGGTAGGGATAGGGTGTTGCGTGTATGTGTGTGTGTGCGTGTGTTGGAGGGCGGGGGAGGGAGGGGGGGGGGGTTGCACGTTGAGTTGGTGAACTATGTTTGGTAGTAACAGTGGTGACACCTATGTGTGTACCAAGTGACCTCAACACTATATAACCATTGAGTTCGACATGCATACAGTTACCTACACGTGAGTATATTCATTATATATCAAGATAACATATGTCTAATGGCCATCATTTCTCCCCTTATGAACTGGAAACTGGACTGAATTGACTGTGTGTGTATGGCAAGACTAGTTCTGATGTAACAAGGCTGTATTATACCTTCGCGATTTATTAAGTTGTCAACCATGGCCAGGCCTTTGCGATGAGTATATACAGTACATAATGAAAGTAAGGGATAAGAAAACATACGTTTATATAAACTCCCTGTACATGTACATAGTGAGTATGTGTGTAGTTCGATTACGCTAGGCGACACATGGTCACACACGTGTGTACTAACCATGATATGCATTGAACACGTGCTACTTAGCGCTGGACAGCTAAGTATATAGGTGAAAATATGACATTTTGAGAATGTTATCATTTAAAACATAGTCTTATCTTCACTGCAGAATAAGCCTTTGTTGTTGAGTCATGCTTGTTAATTAACAGGGAACATCATTTCATATCACTATCGCTTTGATCAGTGTGGAAATGCACAATACCCAGCTGAACCATGGACTATTCGTAAATAGGACATACTTAAGCTATATTTCACATGATTACGATACATGTCTAATGCAGGCCTATTGTAGAGTTCCAAGAATATTTATATTGAAAAGGACTATCAGCCTTCACCCCGGTTAGAATATATGTACAGAAAAACGTATTGTTTATATGTGTTGTATACGACTCGCCCCGTCATGTAAACTAGAACCCTGCATACATGCGACCTGGCCATAGCCCAATATACACACTATATGCGACCGATACATTTTATTTCATATCATTGGTGTAAACTTCATAATCTATTAATTACTGTTGTGACATATTCTTACCAAAGGAACAAGGCATTAAACGTATTTTACATGAAACCAATATAAGTACTGTTCTTCCGCGTGGCAATACAGCCGACCGATATCTAGGTCACCAGTACGGAGCAGCGGCAAACCATGTCCCGAACAAATTTTATCAAACACGGCGCAGAGACGAAGCTTTGTAACGCTTCAACTACCTTACTTGATATAATGAAGTGTCTGCTATCAAACTAGATACTCTGTAACTTATGATCGGTTATTGTTTTGCTGTATTTTATCGAAATTCGTGATGGGTAGGGTCTTCGCTGTGACCGCTACAATGTACTATTTTTGGCTGGGAGAAATCATGTGATGACACACGTGGATAGAACGCGCGGAAATTACCCATAACACTTTGCGGTCTATGCATTCTATCCTCAAGATGGCGGAGAAATAGTAAGTGTAGGGTGTTCGAATATTTCTTGCTTATTTATGTATCCAGACGATCCGAAAAATTTCATACGTTTAAACATTGTTTGCTTTGAACCTTTGAAATGTATCTGAAATAGAAAAATGTTGGATATATTGACCACAGAACGTAAACAAGGTATCGAAAGATTGCATGGTCATAGCAACAGACGATAACCGCGTGTTGCGGTCCGTAAACGTGAATCGAGGTTCAGACGTTTTTGACGTTTTACACTAACGTTTGACTATCAAGCGACCATGGAATCATGTTGAACTTCAAGAAATATGTTGACTTTATCATATTATCAAAGGTTTTTCGTTGTAATTTGTTTTTTATTCAGTAGATCGTGTATTTACAAAGTGTATTTAAATTTTCGCGATATTGGTGCTTCCGTAATCAGTCTGTTTTGACGTACGATTGCGACGGCGTCGTTTCTGGCCCAACTAGGTCTACAGTGTTTAGAGACTTTCAACATAAGGTCCAGTTATAAATACCTACAACTATTTGGAACTATCTGATATTGTAATGTTATCATACGACCCGTGTTTTGATGCCTAATGTAAGTATACCCAAACCATTGTTTATTATGGTTGCTTGCGTCGTTACTTTCGGGCGGCGTACGTATTGAAATGACTGTTATCTTAGCGTTACTTGGGTATTTGGAAGTGGTAGAGATGCAGCAAACGTGATTTGCTTGAACTTTGTGTTTTTTTTTATAAAGTAGAATTGTATTGACAAACCCTTTGTGTTAAAGCATTGCTTATGACACAAAGGTTGGGCCGATATTTTAGTGTTTTAGTTTCTTTAAATAGTTGACAGACAAGTAGGCATATCATTTATACCAATTGAAAGTACTTTTTAAAAAGATTTTAATTATAACAAAAATTGTCATTTTATTTTGATTTTAGTATACATTGTTAATATTCTATATTTCAAATTTAAAAGAAACCCACTTTTTATGAGATATTTTGAAACCTCAATCACTGTATTGGTGTAAAAAAAGAAATTGTTCTTGCTTAAAAAATCAGATGGCAATACATTTTGTATGAAGAAGAATCCTATTTTTAAAAGATAGTTGTATTTGTTGGCGATTAATTCTTTGCATTAAACAAAAAATCAAAGTCTCGCAAAGAAATACTGTAAATCGTTGAATTTTCGGTTTGTTATGGTTTATGTTTACGACAATTAATTAAGGTCGTATTTCAAGTGTTTCCATTGATGAAATGGCCAGTTAACCTACACCAAATTAAATGTCCCTAACTTACTGGCAAGGATATGAAGTCACTAAAAAAACATCTTATTTATCTTGGGGGATTGGGAGGCACAGTGAATAATGCATTTGAAAAAGATGGGGCAAATGAAATGGTGGAGGCCAAACATTTTGTGCAGATAAAAAAAAAAGAAATGCACAAATTATATTGGATTAACTTTTTAACAGGTATTAAAAATACTTCCTCATTAATATTTCATCTTATTGATAATTGTTGTAACTGATAAACAAATCGTTGGTAACTCAGATAGGTGAAACTGAAAAGTGGAAGTTCAGAGCAAAGTAGTAAGGATCTCTATCTTTTTGGTGAAATATATCTTCTTAGATACTTGACATGATCTGATTATGAGTGTACCAGTTGGCATGGGCGGACTAATAACCCTGATCGATCAGTCTTGATCAGCATCCTGAAAGATTTTGTTGAATATCCGGTTTATAGGTTTTTCCAGTAAAGATACTGAATTTGGATGAAATAGCTTTGAAAAAATGTAAATGTGTATGCTATTGTAAAACTTCTTTATACTGCCATCATTTATCCAGAGAAATTTTGTTTGGCGTTGGGGTTTGGCAATAAATTGAGAGAAATGTATAAAAATAATTCATACAAAAAAGAGAAATAGGGACCTTGAAATATGTTGCTGGTAAGTGAGGTGACAATTGGAAAAAAGGGCGTTATAATATTGAGGTTCGAATATTTTTCTTTCGCGAAAGCTCCTAATTATAAGATTCAACAGGTCTTAGTATGACCTTATAACAGGTAATTAGATAATAGGAAGATGAAAAACCATAAATGAACAAGTCTTAGTAATATTTTGATAAGAATTTAAATTGTTAACTGAACTTATTTTCCCTTAGAAACATCAATATAATTGTGCATTTTGTCAGCTCTAATCAACTAAGGGAAAAAAGTTAATTAAGTTTAAGTAGAATGTCTAAATAACAAGAATGATGGTTAGATATGTATCTGGGTTAGATTTCCCGAATTGTAGTACATTTGTATTTCTAGACTTACCGATATAATATTTATTTCCTTATAGACATTCTGCATGTACCTTTTGACAAACTAGACCGAGTTCAGTATTAAACTTGTCATCTTGTCGGAGTCAAGTAGATCTCGGTAAGGACTCGGGGATAATCCTGGAGGGATCTTAATTCTGATATTGACTAAAAATTGCTGAAAATGGCCCACTGCTCTCAAACTCAAGGATTTTCCCTGTGGACTAGTGACTAAAGCATACAGGACTTACACAAAAAAAACCAAAAAAACGTTTAATCAGAATATTATATGGCTGATAGATTAACTTTGTCAACTATTTTCGAGGACTTCACCATGCTTCCCTTACAATAGGTTTTCATATCTTCTACAGACATTTCTCCTGCGTCATGTACTGGGTATGTCTGTAGCAGCCATATCTTAGACTGGTTTATAAGGAGTAGTAAATTGTCTCTTCAACTAGTCTTTCAGGTAAAAAAGGTACACTAGTCCAGTAGAATATAATCAGGACTCTAAAGAATTGCTATACATGAGTCATTTTTCAATATAATGAACTCCGTTGTATGGGATGACTAATGTGGGGCCCGTCTGCAGAATTGAGGGTTTTCTTCTGAGGGAGATATTGGATAGACTAAAATTGATATACTGTCCCTATTTCAACACTTGGAAACCAATTTCTTTTCCTTCCTGCTCTTTATTTTTGGTGATATCTTTTTCGGCACCCATCATCCTATGCCTAACTGTTATGAGGACATTATACATGATCTCATCACCCTTTTATCTCCCAGATTTTCGTACAATCCACAATAAACTTGGCAGAATATTGTATTTCTAATCTATTTCTTTTTAAAAAGTTTGCTATATAGTCTCTGCTATATAGTCTCAGAAACTTGTGAGCTATACAGTGTATAGGATTTGCTATGAATAGCAATTAATATTAGATCTATACATATAACAGACAATTTCCAGAAAATCAATAAAGTGCAACTATGAATGCAAATGAACAAAATTGATGTATTCTCAAGACCATTTAGTCATAAGATATGATTTGAGTAGATAAAAATCTATAATAAAAGCAGTCTTGTTTTTATCGGTCAAGTATATATATATATAGTACATCCTGTGAATTAACATATTGGTCAGATACTGTGATATACCTACTACTGGTGAAATTTTATTTCAAATTACCAAAAGCTGTCTACCGGTAACAAGGATGTGTTTTTTGTGATGGTATCCAAGTTGTGAATAATAAAATTTTCTTGTAAACATTAAAAGTAAAAACAATTTTTCTTAAGCAATTTATTTCTTGGTTCCTCGGTGATCCTTATAAACCTGTTTTACTGTACATTCCTTTCACTCTTAAATTCTTAACTCTGTGTGATATATTACCTGTTTTAGTTAAAAACCATGTCCATGATCATTCCAGTGCATATTTAGTTTCTTTAAGTGTTGTTAAGGTTATATGTTGCCTTCTTCATACACATGTACATGTGATTTGTGTTCGAGTTATCCCCCTTACATCTTATTTTAATTGTATGATAACAAAATAGTTTAGAATAACTTGAGTTTTACTGATGTAGTCCAGTGTCTTTTGTACATTGTAGTTTTAAATATGTCAGAAATTTATAAACCAAGTTCAAATTACAAATGATCAACAACAGTTTTACTGGTGTCTTATAGTGTGGAGTAATGGAGTGTAGAACTCTTTTGTAAAAGAGGTAAATTTGTAACAGTAAGGCGGTATACAGGCTAATATCCATTCAAGACCTTCGTGATTTAGTTCTGTAGGCAAGTAGAGACCTAAATGAAAGTAGATCTTTGAAGTCTGGAGAATTCAGCTTAAGGATGTACATCTCTGAGAAGTCAAAAATATCCTGTATTACATTTTTTTTCTTCTATGGATTTTTTGGAAAATGGAGTTAATGGCATAGTAGAAAATGCAAAAGAAAATATATGTCGGTGTGTTCGTTTTTGTGCTATGATCGGTCAAAGGTACCAATTTAACACAACCTGTGACTTTAGGTGATTTGTTGGGTTTTGACCATTTGCAGAATAAATTCATACAATTTCTTCCAAGTGGGTTATCATATATGTATGAATGTTTGTTGAATTGATGAAAATATTATTTTCTTTTAAGTTATGGAAGTAAAATTTCTTAATCTTTTTCTTTTAACTCAGAAAACCGATTTTAGTTACCCCTACCCCCTATTTTTTAATGAACAGATACTCATTTTTTTACCATTTTTTTAGATTAAACGCTTGATTTAAAAAGTTCTGCTATTAAACTTTTTTTAATATTTAATGAATTAAAAGAAAATGTGTTTCTCTTTCTTTAACATCCACAAAAATGGGGGGTCGGTGTGCTTCTTTTTTTGTCCCATTATCATTTGTGTTATTTTTTACCTTTTTTCGGGGTCAAAAATCAAAAGTGCTTCAGTTACACTAAATTTGCATTATAAAGTTGTACTGCAAAATTGAACCTGCTACAATTAAAAATGGCGACACAATGACAACTTGAGTGATCAATCTAGTGTCAAAAAAGGAGAATTTTTTGGCTTTTTTGAAGCCCAATAAATACACATTAATAAACATTTTCAAAATGGCCACCGAATTGGTATTTTTTTAAAATTCTTGTATAAAAAGTTCTTCAAACAACAGACATCTAGTTTTATGACATATTTTTCAGATGCGTGTTTGCTAATAAACTTGATCATAATTTGTTAAATATTACAAAAACCCGTTACATCAGATCAAAACGAGACTTGAACGTGATTGAAACCTCAGAAGAGTACATCCTTAAACAAAAAACTTTGTCAAATATAGTAGATGTATCCATTCAGAATTGTTCTAGTGACCATAGTATGGATTTTAGATATGCATGTTGCTTACTTAAAAGTTGGACCACAAAGTCTGTTGTGTGATTTTAATAAATGTTACGTATACGCAGTGATCCATATATTATCCTAAATGGTTACCAGAATACTTCCTGTTTCATATAATGATTACAGAGTTTGATTTAAACAGTGAAAATGAAATAATATTTAAACCAAAATCTGTTATCATTTTTGAAAACAGGAAGTATTCTGGTAACCATTTCAGGTAACAGGATCATTGTGCATACAAAACATTTACTTAGTAAATGGGGTGGTGGACTTCGATACTTAAATGTTTATTAAACCCAAAACAAGGCTGATTTCTTATCTACTAACTTTATCCATGTTGTTCTGTTTTATGAATGCAGTTAATGTATTTGTGTGTTTTTAAAAGACAAATTTAGAATAGAACTAGACAATAAATCATGATTTACCCACAGTATTACATAACAAAGAATGAACATTGACATATTGGGTATACAAGGCCTGTCACATGCCTTTTCCCTTACATAATTTACTTTCACAATTTTATTTTGTATTTTCACAATTTGAATGATCATTAATTTACTGCAATTTAAGGAGAATTATTTGTTCAAATATTAAGAAGACTTGATATCTTCTTGCCTTATTATACATTAAAGTCAATATACATAAAATTTACTATGTATCAAGATTGAAAACTAACACATATTTCAATATATATTGCAAAATGCATATTGATTTTAAGAATTAAGGTTCTTGTTAGTATATCCAGCAGGCCCAAATTTCTACAAGTAGACACCAAGACTTTGTGTCAGAAAGTCAGAAAGATGTCCTAGTCCTCATGCAAGGAAATACAAATTGTTAAGAATCTGACCCCGGGGCTTGTGGCTGAAGGTTTCATTTGAACCACAATGGCTTCCATGCATGGGATATTGACCTTTGTTTACCTGTAACCTTGACCTTTGTTTATGTTGTAAATTTACCTCTAACCTTGACCTTTGTTTATGTCATAGGTGATGTGACCATGACCTTGATGGAATCTATGACATGTAATGGCCAAGACCAAAAACCAGGAAGGCACTTGTTCTACACCGGTGAAGGGCCAGGTCAATCACAGCAATCTAGATAAAAACCAGGGTAAGAAACATACTTTGTTAGAAATTTAATAATACAGTTATGGTATTTGGCTTGTATCATGCTGGGATTAAGGGTCATCAAGTTTGTTCAAACTTTCAATGTCACAGGGGTCAACTTTGGGTTGAAATATTAAAACAAATGATAATGAATTACTAAGAGGCCTAGGGTGGTTATATTTGGACTAGGCCTATAATCAACCCATTATACTTGTAACTTACTAAGATGTATATATGTATATGGCTATCAAGTTTTTCTTCAAATGGTCAAGTTGAATTACCGTTACTGTCTTTTACGGTCACAGGTACTGTTAGATGTGGTAAAACAGTAAAACAAGTTCTACTGAATAACTAATAGGCCTATAGCTATAGCTTATAAGGTAATTATGTTTTACTTGTATTTTGCAGGTGTAAAAAAATGTCAAAGTTTGTTAAATTGAATGACTAAAATCAAATTTGAAGGTTTTATGATAGAAAAAAGTTCAATTCTTCTAGTAATTTAAGATACATTAAGTTAGGGTAATGCCATTTAGCATGTAGAAATAAATGAACCCTTTACCCAAAGTAGAGGTCACAGCTATTAGATGTATTTGGTAAAGCTTTGAATCAGTGATGAACAATTGACCCTCCTATTTCTCAACTTCTGAATAATAAGGAGCACTTGGGTAACAATGTTTGTCTTGTAGCATGCTGATCATGTGATAAAGAACTATCAACTTTGTTGAAGTAAATAACCATAAACAATTTTTAAATACCAAATGGTCAAATATGTAAAAAAAAAAATCAAAACAAATCTGAATTCGAAAAGGTGTAGGGGAAAGAAATTTGGCATGTAGCATGCTTGGGATAAAATGGTATTTATGTTGTTCAAATGAATGACCTTGACTATCTTTTAGGGGTGTAACGATATACCGGTATACCGGTATATTGTGATACAGCTGAGAAACGATATGTATTGCAATACGATTTTCCATATACCGGTATTTTCGATATTTATTCTCCATGAATTATTTTGAAATTTTTCATTCACATTACGATCAAATTACAATAAAACCAGCTAAGTAGTCGTAGGCGCTTTCTCGACGTTTTTGTTTTTTGTCCCGGAAGCGGTAGTGTGTTTACAGTAAACACGCATGTGCGAGCGAAAACGAAAGTAGTCGCGGGAAAGATGGCGGAGGAAAAGGACGAAAGCTTCAGCATCATTCCTAATAAGAAGGCTAAGTCCGATATATGGCAACACTTTGGCTTGAAGCAANGCAATATATCGCAATATGGGTTTTGCTGTATCGTTACACCCCTACTATCTTTTAAGGTCATGCAGAAAATGTGTCCAAGTCTTTTAACACTTTCAATGATTTGGTTGATCATCCTTCTGATCTTCCAGGATGATCACCCAAATCATTGAAAGTAGGTCAAGGAAATTCATTTAAACTAAGCAGAATTTGTAGCCCTTCTTTTCAGCATGCTACAACGATAAATTATAAGCCTTGGCCTTCTGGTTATTCAGAAAAAAACGTTAAAGGACATATTTGACCATTTGAAGTTTAAAAGTTGTTCATGGTTATTTACTTGAACAAAGTTGATAGTTTTTTATCTCATGATCAGCACGCTACCAAACAAACATGTGTCTTGTACACAAGCTTTTCAATCCAAAAGTGGACAAGTACCGCTTTTCAATTGAAAAGATTGTGTACAAGACATCGCATGTTTTAGTTTATTTTTATACTATTGTATGGTAAAATTGAGTTCTACATCTGATTCAGTGTTAGTTGTCACCAGTCAAGGCTTAAAGTCAAACTTGACCACTTTTGAAGAAAATTGAAATGCTTGTTTACAAGATCGATGTTTCAAGAATCCCTCATGAGATGTCATGGGTGGGAATTTATCAATAGAGCTTGAAAATTATAAGGAGTATTTTCTATTGCCTTCATTGTTTTACAGATTCACCGCAGTGTGATGCTGAAGAACACTCAACTACGCTTATAAAGAGAGGGAATGCTACAGCGTCCTCTTCAAAGTTTGGCAAGCGCTCCCGATCTTCATCTCCTAAACAACAAGATTCGTCACCAAGACGAAGTCCTAGAACTGTTGCCCCACAGGAACATGCATGTCAGACAGAATTTTCAGTGCTAGACCCTTTACACCAAGTTACTGATCGCTTGTTACAGAAAACTACCCCATCCCCCAAGGGTAAACGAAAAAAAGTAGCTCCTGGTGACATAGAAGACAGGGGAGTTTCTAAGACTAGCTCAAACGAGCAGGATCAAACTGCTTCTCCTAAACCACAGTCAAAAACTGTTTTTCCTAGCTTGAATGTTGACTCTCTACCAGAAAGAAAGTCTGGAGATGGAACCAGTCAAGATCAAAGCCGTATCTTTGTGTACCAGAATGTAAAGCATGCTATAAGTGGGTTACCTGCTGGGACCAAGACGCCTGAAGGAACTAGCACGCCCATTGTTTATATACGAGACGTGTTACAAGGGGAGGAGGAATCGAGTGTGGCAGGGAGTGGCACCATTAGTGGATGTGAACTGAGGAAACATTTGTTAAAATCCTTCAGCTATCTTACAGATATGGCAAATGAGGAGCCAAGCCTTGCAGGAAACAAGAAGAAAGTCTCGCCTAAAAAGGGACCCATGCAAACACCAGTGAAAAATGAAAATCATGAATTGGCTAAAAATGTGGTTGAAAAGCCTAGCAAGACCAAGAGTGTTCCTAAATCTCTGATAAAAGACAATTCAGAAAAGAAAGAAAATCTGAAGGGAAATTCTATGTTGTTAAAAGAGTGCCCTCCTGAATCTCCAACCATTGGTGCCAAGCAAAGTCACAATTTAGTCCAACTTGAAAAGGTGAAGAGCAAAAAGAAACGGCGTTCACCTTCCTCAGCAACTCCTGTAGAGAATACAAATTTGGCTGATACAGTTACCTCGGAAACGAGACTGCCAGCAGACTTGAGATCTGTAGAGATTACTCTCAACAATGGGGATCCGTTGCCAATTGATACAGGATCGGAAGGTCACCTACTGTCTACATCTCCTACACCTCTGAGGGATGGAGATGTACGGCATGGACGCAGGATACGCTCTCCTAGCGTACGCTATGCAGACGATATGATACTCTTCCCCCTTAAGTCTCCAAGGAAGTCCCCCAAATTAGTGAATCCTCGAGATGGTGGAAGTCCAGAGGATAGGCAAGAAAAGATGCTGGAGAAGGACAAAACATTTAAAACGGTTGTAGGGGAGAAGCTTACAAAGACAGCCGAGTGTCAAACATCGGAATTGTATGCACTGTTGACAAGGACACTGACCAATGATAAAATAATTACTCCCTCACGACGCAAGTCCCCAATGGAGACAGCTGTGGTGAGTGACAGCTCACTGACTGTGAAGAAACACACTGGTGCGGTAAGAGAGATTAATTTCAGTGAAGGGGTGAAAACAAACACTCGCGACAGTCAGATTCAGGTTCAGATGGAGGAACACCTGGCTAACATTCACAAAGAGGAACTGACGCGCCTAAAACAAGAATTACCCCCGGATACCAATAACATAGCTTCTCCGTCTACCTCAACAGTGGCAAGTTACAATAACGACAATATTTCTAAAGGTGATTCAAGACAAAGTACAAATATTACCCTCGATAACCATAAACAAAATTACTTAAAACAAAAAAGTGCAAACAAAAAGGTCTCCAAACAAAGTAGTTCCAAAGTAAGTGACTCTAAACAAAGAAGTCCCGTCAAAAAGGAATCCAAACAAAGTCTCTCCAAGCAAACTGATTCCAAACAAAGAAGTCTTCTTAAAAGTAATAAAAAACACAGTATCTCAAAACCAACAGACCTTCAACAAAGTGTTTCCATGCCAACTGTTTCCAAGCAAAGTGTTCCCATGCAAAGTGACTCCAAACAGAGTGATACAAAAAATAAACAATCAAACAAACGAGAGTGTGAGAAAACAGACTCTGAACAGGTTGACTCCAAGCCAGGAAAACTTGATTTCAAGCAAAAAAGTTCGAACAAAAGTGTTCCGAAACAATGTGAATCCAGACAATTAGACTCCAAACAAAGTGAATCCGGACAATTAGACTCCAAACAAAGTGATTCTAAGCATAACGACTCCAAAAGTAGAAGTGCTGATAAAAGTGTCGCCAAGGAAATGGATTCCAAGGAAAGATGTAGCAGCAAAACTGAGTCGAAGACAATTGGGGAGAAAATTGACTCGAAGCATAAGATTAAAACTAAGAATTCTTCTAAACAAATGGATGACAGCAAAAGTAAAAATGATCTCGGGAAAGATAACCCCAAGCCTAAGAGTTACCTCAAGAATGACTCGGAACATTTGAGTGAACGTAAGAGTGACTTAAAACAGAACAGGAACAACGAAAGTGGCTCAGTAAAGCTACAATGTGATAATGTTGAACCTGACCTAAAACAAAGTTGTAAAATGGCTGTAAAACCAGACGTAAAAAGAACAAGTAGTGTTAAGTGTGAGTCTCTACAAGGCGGTGGTAGGGTTAAAGGTAGTCCCGGAAAGAAAGATTCAGGTAGAGATAGTAAGAATAATTCTGACGGGGACAAAGGCAGTGGAAAGTTGATCGGAGCAAGTGATATTAAAATTGAATCTGAGGAACAAACTGACAATTACAAAATAGATAAAAGCCATAATAATGAAACAGATGCAGAAGAAAAATGTGAAAAGAGATGCAGTGGAGATAAAACCGATTCCATAGAAAAGTCAGACAGTTATGTCTCCCAGAAACCAAAGAGTTCCAACTTATTTAGTCTGATCTCGCGTGTGAAATCCAATCTGGAATGTCCCAATCCTCTAACAGAGTTTCTCAATTCTCCCCTTTACGAGCCTCCATCTGGGGATGAAGAGGAGGATATAAGTGATGAGAGTTTTACAGCATCAGATAAGGATAATACAAGGCTTTTGGAGGAGTCCAGCCTATCTGCTGATAAGGACAACAATATTTCCTCTAGTGATAAACTTTTAAAAGAAATTCCTGATAATGAAGCAGGGATAAAGGCTGGGTCTTTCACAGCAAAAGACACTAGTACTGAAAAACAGCCACAATGGCGTAAAACTGACCAGGACAAAAACTCACTGGAGGATTTACTGAATTCTGACGGGCAAGGTGAGGATCACAAATCACGAGATAGGGTGACAAAAAGTTCTGAGGAGAAAAACCATTCACCAGGTAGGGTAACTCGATCGCACACATCTCCAGAAAAGCCCCAATCACAGACCAGTTTACCAAGAAGGAACAACTCCCCTGACAAGAACACCATATATCCTGCTGATGTAATTCTAGTAAATACAGCAACCTCTTCATCTGATAATATCAAATCAGCATCCTCAAGTGGAAAGAAAACCGTTGGGAACATGGATGACAACCAATCGATGGTGGTTACTTCTACAGATGCTGATTCTACTACAGACGACTCACCCACCAGGAAAAACATCTTTGACCTGTTAATGTGTTCCTATGAGGGTGAAAAGGGAGGAGATGAGGAGGGAAAAGAGGATGAAGAGGGAAAAGAGGATGAGGAGGGAAAAGAGGAACAGGACACAAGGATCCTAGAACAGCAAAATGCAAATGGTTCTGTAGAGGAAAAATTGGCAACAAATGCTAGCGGTGAGTGTGGTAACAAAGATTCCAAAAAGGAACTGGATTCAGCCAGAAATCAAAAAGATTTGGAAGTGGTTGATTCCAATAAGAAGGAATCTAAAGTCAGCTTGTTACTGGACCCTGTAGACACTGTTGATCTGACATGTGATGAGGATGGCTTTGATTCGGTCTCTGATGAAGTTCAGAAAGAACAAACTGTAATGGCCTCTCCCATGACTGGTTACACAGGATCAGCCTTAAAAAGTGATCTGACTGGGTCAACAACAGCCTCCACCGTGCAGCGAAGCCAGCCTGTATCTGCTGGCCAGGATACTCCAGATCACCCGAAGATCAGTGAACCCAGACCTCTAGATGTCCTAAAAAGTGTGGAGATGGATACCCCAGATAAGATGTCGGCCTTCCAGAGCAAGTCCCTCGATGAATACCTTCAAAAAATGAAAAACCAAGATACTCATGTCGTGCAGGATGATGATACAGATGAGGAGGAGGAGGAGGAGCAGGAGCAGGAGCAGGAGGATGAGGAGCAGGAGGATGAGGAGCAGGAGGATGAAGAAGGTGAAGAAGATGAAGAAGAGGATGAGGATGAAGAGGCGAGGGAATTTGAAGAGGAGCTGGAACCAGATTTTGACGAAGTGGATGGCATGGTGTTTGTGTCTTTCCCATCAGAGGAAACACTTTCTGCTCACATAGAGGTAGAGCGAAAAACAAGAATTGGGAAAAATGAAAATCTGCTACTTGGTATATCTAGGCTAAGGAATCTTCGTAAAAAACGTGATCATATGCAACTGAAATATAATAAAAGAATTCATAGACTGAAAGCATTAAAAGCTCAGGGACAGCTGAATCAGAATTTACGGGGGATGCACAAGGCTCTGGAGAAATATCAAAAGTTGTACAGAACAGAACTGTATATCATTTTGAAATCTAAGAACAAAGATGTTAACTTCAAATCACCACAAAAAACTTCTGACATCACAAAGATCAAAGGGTGGAAGAAAAAATTTGGTAACACTGAGCAACTGGCTGAGGCCACTGGCTTGCCTATTTCACAGGCAGGAAAACTTCACTGGAGAACTGAGGCCCGACTCCTTAAAAATCTCAAGCCTGATGAACTGAAGGAAATCGGACTCAACCTGAAAAAAAAGCGAAGGAAGAATCTTGTTTTTACTATCAGGAAAGGTATGTCAAAGGGAGACAATCGACCAGATAGGAATGAGGATGGAGCTGAGGAATATGAGGATGTGGAGGGAGAGGATTATGATGATGACCATAATGACAGAAATGAAGATGACTTAAGGGATGATGATGGCAACAAAGATGATAGCTGGTTTGATGATTTCAGTATATCGCCAGAAAAGGAGAAAAAGTCTCAGTATATGAAAAAACAAGAAAGGCTTAAGAAACGACTGATGCTTCAGAGTTTGAGCTTTGGCCCTGAAGAAGAAACAATTATTCGCAAGCTTGGAGGGCAGAGATCTCTGAGGAAAAGCATCCTTGGTCTGAACTCTGAAGACCGAGCTCCTCCTTTGGAGGAGGTGACAAAGGGGAAGCGTGGTAGGAAAAGAAAAGGAGAGGCAATGACCCTTACAACAGTATCTCAAAGCATGGCTTTGCAGGCTTTGGCTACTCTGGACCAACGCTTTGTCAAGGAGAAGCCAAAACCATCACCTCCTGTTCTCAAGGAAGTCCCTCATGTGAAGAAGGAAGTATCTGATCGTCTGGGGCTACAGGAGGATCAGGATATAGACGACTGGCTGCCCCCAAAGGAGGTCAACAAGGAAAAACGAATTCGAGGCAGAAAGAAGAAGAAGAAGTTCTCTCATAAGGTCAAGGAGGAAAACGAAGTGCAGTGTGATCAGCCAGGTAAGTGGCCAGGTGTTTGTCTGTCACCATGGTAATGTAAACAGGTGAAGGTCACTCATGTATTTTTAGTTTGTTATCAGGAAGTATGTATAGAGTGTAAGAGATTTATTAAAAGGGGCCAGATGTGATTGACTGTAATAGTATTAGATAGTATTTGTTCGTGAATGTTGCCACTGTTGCATGAAATCAAATACTAACGTCACTGTACCCAAATTGGGACACTTTTTGGATAAATATCAATGTTCTTTATACCATACTATCAGTTCCAAAAAGTTTGTTCATTTTTCATAAATAGATACTATAGATACTATCCGCTTTTCATTTCTATCACAATTTGATATTTTGGACATGTGGTTCTATAAAAAGAACGCGAATTACCATCAGAGTTATGTTTGCCCTTGAACCAGCCTTACTGTACCCTGAAAGGGACACTTCAGGTGTTTTGGCAAATATTTGGATAAACGATCAATATCGGCAGAAAATATGCATAGTTGAAATATTTTAAAGTCAAGGAGGGTTCTGATTAAATTTATTCTCCAAACTAGCATTAGTTTCGATAAAATACACTTTTGAAAATGATACCCAAATAAATAGCGTCGCACAGCACGTAAATCAGGAAAGTCTTGTTTTTGTAATTATTCTTCCATTTAAATTGTCTTTGTAACGATAATCAGCATGCAATAAAAGCTTAATACAGTTTAATTGTCATGAAAAGTATTATCAAATGAATACTGTATACATAAAAGTACTTCTTTGCATTGAATGACAGTTTCCCACAAGTGTCCCGTTTTGGGTACTGTCCCGTTTTGGGTACAGTGACAGTAGATCACACATTCGAATTATGTAGAGGATCTGAAAGTTGCTTTTTTGTTGTGTGATATTTTGTCATGAGGGTTTGTTATGTTCTATAACTCATTTAGCATGCTGGAAAAAACACACTCAGCTTCATTATGGGAATTTTCACATTTAGGACAAGGGACAGATCTTGCTTCAAGCAAAACACATTTCTGTTCTATTCCCTCTTTATATAACATATTTATAACTAAAAAGGAATTTTCTGATATTTTCATATATAGAGCAAAAGTGGATTCATGTGAATCCATTTCCAAATACCCAGGAAAATCCTTTGGTGGTCAAATTTTCAAAGTATTGGTCAATAGATCAAATATGGCTATTGGTAAGGGAAATTTGATTAAAAGACACTGAAGAAAAATTGGGTTTATAAAGGGGTAAAGGCAAATTTCCATCAATTTGACATCAATTTGACATCCTGAGGTATATACCACCATCAAATAACAATTACATAAGGTTTGTAGCAACTCTTTGGAAAATCAAATTAGCATAATTATGTTGTTTGATTATATATAATTAAGTAATTTTAGAAGTAATGCATTCTGTATACCAAATAAAGAAATAGCAGATCTTTTAACTTCTAATCGGTTATCCACATACACATATTCTGTAGTTAGGGAAGGTCTTTGTAAGCTGGCAAAGCTTGCATCTGATCCTTAACATAAATTTAAAGTAACAGAACTATTTTGAAAATGCTACCTTTCCTGGTCTTTGCTCAATTATCACACCTTAGAAAAAGCTTAAGTTGGTAATGAATAAAAACAATTATCATCAAAAAAAAGGAAGGAAATCTTTGCATATATCATCACAAAACGCATATTTTAACGTTTAACTGATGGTCAATTTTTTTTTCATTTCCATGCTACTATTGGCTAAATGAAAATAATTTGATATAAAGCTGAAAGGTAACGTGGTGATTGGGCACCTACCTTCCCCTAGCCACAACCCTTTTGGAGACCTGATTTAAGCTAGATACATAAGTGATAAATAGACATCAGAGTATCCTATAAAAGTCTACACTGTTTCTAGAAGGTACTTTAATGCATTGAAGGATGTCTGATATTCTTAAGAACAAAAAGTGAAATTTAAAATCCAAGCACACGGAATGGAGGTGTGCCAGTATTACACAGATCTATACAGGAAGTGTGGTGATTCTTTGTGTTGGAAACTGTCATGTTAAATCATAACATTGTATTCTGTACTAACATTGACTTGTTTTCTCGGTCAGTATATATCTATCTGTGCGTGACATATAGCGGTCACATGGACTGACATAGAAGGGTAATCTTTGGGTATAAAAGTTTGTTTCTCCAGTACTTATTACAGATGCCAATGACCTTGCCATTCAAAGGCCGGTTACAACCTGCTAGTAAAGGTATATATGCAAATTAGGTAGGTGATATTATGTTTGCAAGACTACACCTGAAGTATTCAAACTATTAATGATCGTTATCCTAGGGATAGATCTATATATGTCAGCCAGCATGTTATGTTTTTGCTATCAGCCAAATAAGATGTTATCAGCTCTGATTATCTCACAAACATATTATAGAAGTCAGGTCATCAAAACAACATCAAATCAGACCTACACCTACTCACTGTGTAATTAATGTTCCAGGCTGTGTTAGAATGCTTTCCCTACATTTTTGCGTAATTTTAGTATGCTAATGTAAACATTAGATTCACACTAGTTCTATAGCTACATCTCATTGCACACACAGTACTTTGTGTGCTGTTTAAGTTTTTGTGGTGTGGTAATGCTTACGTTTTTCATGTTAATTGAATTATTGCGAAAATATTAGCACTCAAATATTTATTTATAGATTATATTTTTATGATATATATTGCCAATGTGAAAATTTCCACACTGCAATGAGTTTAAAGAGCCACAATGTGAACGTTTCCACATGTTTTGTAATACGAGAGGGTGTTGTAGTACTATAGGGGTGTTGTAGTACAATATAGGGGTGTTGTAGTACTATATAGGGGTGTTGTAATACTAGAGGGTGTTGTAGTACTATATAGGGGTGGTGTAATACTAGAGGGTGTTGTAGTACTATAGGGGTGTTGTAGTACTAGAGGGTGTTGTAGTACTATAGGGGTGTTGTAATACTAGAGGGTGTTGTAGTACTATATAGGGGTGTTGTAATACTAGAGAGTGTTGTAGTACTATAGGAGTGTTGTAGTACGAGTGGGTGTTGTAGTACTATATAAGGGTGTTGTAATACTAGAGGGTGTTGTAGTACTATAGGGGTGTTGTAATACTAGAGGGTGTTGTAGTACTATAGGGGTGTTGTAATACTAGAGGGTGTTGTAGTACTATAGGGTGTTGTAGTACTATAGGGGTGTTGTAGTACTATATAGGGGTGTTGTAGTACTATATAGGGGTGTTGTAGTACTATAGGGGTGTTGTAGTACTATATAGGGGTGTTGTAGTACTATATAGGGGTGTTGTAGTACTATAGGGGTGTTGTAGTACTATAGGGGTGTTGTAGTACTAGAGGGTGTTGTAGTACTATAGGGGTGTTGTGATACTAGAGGGTGTTGTAGTACTATAGGGGTGTTGTAATACTAGAGGGTGTTGTAGTACTATAGGGGTGTTGTAATACTAGAGGGTGTTGTAGTACTATAGGGGTGTTGTAATACTAGAGGGTGTTGTAGTACTATAGGGGTGTTGTAATACTAGAGGGTGTTGTAGTACTATATAGGGGTGTTGTAGTACTAGTGGGTGTTGTAGTACTATATAGGGGTGTTGTAGTACTAGAGGGTGTTGTAGTACTATATAGGGGTGTTGCAGTACTAGTGGGTGTTGTAGTACTATATGGGGGTGTTGTAATACTAGAGGGTGTTGTAGCACTATAGGGGGGTTGTAATACTAGAGGGGGTTGTAGTACTATAGGGGTGTTGTAATACTAGTGGGTGTTGTAGTACTATATAGGGGTGTTGTAATACTAGAGGGTGTTGTATTACTATATAGGGGTGTTGTAGTACTAGTGGGTGCTGTAGTACTATATAGGGGTGGTGTAATACTAGAGGGAGTTGTAGCACTATAGGGGGGTTGTAATACTAGAGGGGGTTGTAGTACTATAGGGGTGTTGTAATACTATAGGGTGTTGTAATACTAGAGGGTGTTGTAATACTATAGGGTGTTGTAATACTAGAGGGTGTTGTAGTACTAGAGGGTGTTGTAGTACTATATAGGGGTGTTGCAGTACTAGTGGGTGCTGTAGTACTATATAGGGGTGGTGTAATACTAGAGGGAGTTGTAGCACTATAGGGGGGTTGTAATACTAGAGGGGGTTGTAGTACTATAGGGGTGTTGTAATACTATAGGGTGTTGTAATACTAGAGGGTGTTGTAGTACTAGAGGGTGTTGTAGTACTATATAGGGGTGTTGTAGTACTAGTGGGTGTTGTAGTACTAGTGGGTGTTGTAGTAGTATAGGGGTGTTGTAGTACTATATAGGGGTGTTGTAGTATTAGTGGGTGTTGTAGTACTATATAGGGGTGTTGCAGTACTAGTGGGTGCTGTAGTACTATATAGGGGTGGTGTAATACTAGAGGGTGTTGTAGTACTATATAGGGGTGTTGCAGTACTAGAGGGTGTTGGAGTACTATATAGGGGTGTTGTAGTACTAGTGGGTGTTGTAGTACTATATAGGGGTGTTGTAGTACTAGAGGGTGTTGTAGTACTATAGGGGTGTAGTAATACTAGAGGGCGTTGTAGTACTATATAGGGGTGTTGTAATACTATAGGGTGTTGTAATACTAGAGGGTGTTGTAGTACTATAAAGGGGTGTTGTAATACTAGAGGGTGTTGTAGTGCTATATAGGGGTGTTGTAATACTAGAGGGTGTTGTAGTGCTATATAGGGGTGTTGTAATACTAGAGGGTGTTGTATTACTATATAGGGGTGTTGTAGTACTAGTGGGTGCTGTAGTACTATATAGGGGTGGTGTAATACTAGAGGGGGTTGGAGCACTATAGGGGTGTTGTAATACTAGAGGGAGTTGTAGTACTATATAGGGGTGTTGCAGTACTAGTGGGTGCTGTAGTACTATATAGGGGTGGTGTAATACTAGAGGGTGTTGTAGTACTATAGGGGTGTAGTAATACTAGAGGGCGTTGTAGTACTATATAGGGGTGTTG